TAGGGAGGAGGGAGAAGGAAAGAGTAAAGCAAGTCACAAAGTATAAAGGATGCTCGGGATAACGTGCCCAATCCAGGGCTGATGGGTAAAAGGGGCGGAACGTAGAGGGTAGTCCTGGGGTAAGTGGGGAGAACTACCTGCTGCTCGGACCAGGGCAGCTCGCGGTAGCGCCTTCGGTGAGCCAGAAGAGCTGCGGAGTCCAGCTGCAGCAGCTTTAGCGGGAGCAGGGGAAGCAGGCAGTCTGGCCAGGTGGTGGGGGTGGGCTGCTGCTGGGGATGTGTGTAGCAGTGTAGTGATAGGGGAGCGGGGAGCCACGGGGCAGGGAGGGACCAAAGCTAGGAGGAGGATGGATGGCCTCCGCGGCTAGAGCCGTGCGCGCCGGGAAGCCTTCCCATCGAAGGTGGCTGCGGGCAAGTCTTGCTGCCATTTAGGCACCTGGCAAACTAAAGTCCTCTCTGAGCTTTGCTCTTTATCTGAAAGCAGGCTGGTTGGCTTGGAAGATTTCTCAGACCCTTCTGGCTTTGACATGCTAGGCCATTGTGGATCACGCTGCCCTGTCTCTGGACCTGGGGAGGGCTGCTAATGTCTTGGTGGGCACAGGGCCAGCCTGGACTCTCAGGGCCACTCAGGGCGAGTGTGGGAGGCAGCACCAGCCATACGAGACTGCCCTGGGACATGGCGAGGAGTTTAGTTGGGAGATGCCACACGTACCTGACCAGGGATACACACAGCTGCACTGGCGCCTGTTGTACCTATGTTTGTAACTCTGTCTTTCACCTGCATGACAATTCGCAGTGTGTGTGTGTGTGTAAGGAAGTGGGGAGGTGTGGGAGGCCTTCCCTGGCCACAGGGAAGATGCCCTCCTCCTTCCCCAGAGCCCACATCCCTGAGTGTCTCATCCTCCCTGCCACTCTCATACCCGAAAGGTCTGCAACAACGCTGCGGTCTGGCAGGCTGAGAGGCGTGATAATTGGGGGGCCAGGCAGGAGCAGGCCCCCACCAGAACTCGCCTAGGGATGGCCTGGAGTGTCTGGGAGCTGAGGCCTGGTAGCAGAGGGTGCAAGGAGCAGAGTTCCTCCAGGGACAGCTGGGGAGCAAGAGAGACAAGAGTCCTGAAGAAGAGAGGCAGGGCGGGGGGGAAGACAACAAGCACAGTACAGCACGCACGCGGCAGGTGTGAGGAGCTTAGAGGGAAGAAAGGGGCAGTTGCGGGAGCCAGGGAAAGGGGGACAGGGACCTCTGGGGGATGTTGAGAAGCTGCTGCTACTCACATCATGCCTGGGGAGGAGCCGTCCAAGCAGTAAAACAGCCTAAGGTGGGATGGGACAGGAAACACCGGCTCTCAGGTCCTGGCAGCCAGGTTTGAAACAAATCCCTAGGGCTACCCTCCAAAACTTCCAGCTCCCTCTCTACCACCCCCACTGATGAGCCTGGCTCCAGGCTCTTCTTGATCTGAGGAAGGGGGATGAGGGAGTCTTCCTTGGGACAGAGAAAAGGGAGGAGGCTCCAGAGGAGCTGATGGTATCCCTGAATATAATTCTCTTGACTGGGGTTCCCGGGGGCGGGGGCGGGGGGGGAGGATGGATGCCAGAGAGTGAGACAGGCCCACCTGGGCGGGTGAGACACTGGTTCCCTGCAGGGCAGGAAGCATGGCTCTAAGCTGGGGCTCTGACAGCCCCTGTAGGAAGCGGAGGCCCAGCTGAGGGAAGAGAGGGGCCCAGACTCGCAGCTCTCGGGGGCTCAGCACAGCTCCTCCAGAGGAGCGCAACACTCCCAGAAGTTCATATGCCACCTGTAACCAAAGAAGGTTTGGGCCTGGAGAGAAAAGACAAGTGAACCTTAAACTTCCTGTCCAATCTCACATTTGGGTTTCCCAGGGCCTGGGCTAGAGCTTAGAACCAGGGATGGGATAGGAATAGAATGAGTGTAAGATGTCAAAGGGTATGTTTGGGGTGTCATAGACCAAATGGCATAGGGTCAGGAAGAGGTAGTAACAGATAAGAATGACCATGGAAAAAGGAACAGAGGTGGCAGGGGTCAGGGGAGGGATGGCACTGTTGCGCTCAAGCTTGGTTGAGATGACTGGGCAAGTCCTCCACACTGACCCAAGGAAAGCCTGGAGTCTTGTAGGCCTGTGCCAAGGGGCTCACCCGTCCTTGTGGGCTGAGGGTCCCGTTGGCCGCACATTCCAGCAGGCCCCGTTCTACCGGCCCCATTGGGTCACTCAAGGGTACCAGGCTCTGCAGCTCCTCAGGGCTCAGGAAACAGGCGAGGGACCCCAGCCTGAGAAGGACACGAAGCTGGCCTTCATGTGGTCACGGAAGCTGGCACTGAGGTGGGGACCACGTAGGTACATAGACTAGGCACTCTGACCACTAAACTAGGAAATATGGGTGCCATAGATAGGCCTCTGTCCTCCAGTCCAATACTGCCTGGGGCCACTGCCTACTTTCTTGCCCCTTCCTTCCTAGGACCCCGACCCACCATGGCAGCCATCCTCACCTCTCTCCCAATGTGGCCTTGATCACTGATCCCACAGCCACTCACCTGCGTACCTGCTCCTCTCCATCCTGGACACTCTGGTTCACCAGGCTGCGTAGCACATGTCGGGCGTGCCCTGGCCCAAGACCTGCTGCTGGCCAGCTATCCTCCAGGGCCTGGATCTGAGATGAGGCAGGTCAGCTTTGTGTCGGGGTCACTATGGGACACTTGTGGGGAGGAGCTCACCAAGAGACATGCTACCGACTCCCGTCCCACCTAGCAGGAGATGGGCTAGTCAAGTTAAGAGGATCACGTCCTACCTGGTGAGGGCTGAGCTGCAGAAAGTTTTCCAGAGGGAGGTGGGGGAGCAGGGGCAGCACTGCCCACAGTAGCTCCTGGGACCAGGCAGGCACTTCCCCGAAAAGCTCAGGGGCCAGCAGGCGCTTTGCAAGAGCCTCCTTCTGTTCAGGTCTCATTCCTGGGCTGTAATCCCGGATGGCAGCCAGGCTGGGGAGAGTAATGGGTCTCAACCCTTGGCCCTGTTCCAAACAGTTGTCCCCTGGCTCTCTGCAGCCCCTACTGTCATGGGCAAGAAGGAGACTCTCCCTAATTTTAACAGAGAGGATCTCAGGAAGGGGCTGTGCTAGGCTGGTGGGGTCGGCCTGACCCTGACAGGATCAGGAGGAGTGGTGTAGGGTCCTTACACACTGTCGTTGGCCAACAGGGATGGTGGGAAGCGCATCAGGTCAGAGACAGCCAAGAAGGGGATGAGCGGTGACAGGTCAATGAAGAGCTGGGAGGTGAGGCGTGGGTAGCGCTGGAGCAGCAAGGCTGTCAGGCGACCCAGGGCCTGCTCCTCAGACGGTGGTACCTGTGGGGGGCACAGGAATGGATGCTGGCTCTGGAAATGCTCAGTATCCTTGCTGTCTCCTCTCGAGTTCCTCCTTCCCCTGGGCAAGCCCTCTGCACACCGGGTTCCAGGTGCTCTTGATTCCTAGATTTCTCCCTCCACCCTGGTTCCCCCTCTCTCAATGCCCACCTGCAGCTGGGCCCAGGAACGGTGCATGAGCGTCAGGAAGCCCTGAGCAGCCTCCCTCTCTGCTGAAAGCACCAGCTGCTGGAGATTTTCCGGTGGCATGTGCAGGTATGCCTAGGAGTGGGAAGTTCTTGTGGACATGGCCTCACTGGGTTGTGACCCAGCCCACCCATGGGCTCCTCCATCTGTTACCTGCACTAGAATCTGCAGGGCCCAAACACTCTTCTCCCTCTGGAGCAGATCCCATAGCACAGGCTGGTGGGGAGACAGACAAGATGCTAAGAGCTATCTTCTCTGTCCCTCCTGAAGCTTCCCCAGGTGCTCCAACTCTACTTGCTAGGATGCTTGTCCTTCATCTGAAGCTATATGTGTGTCTCCTCAGATATTAAACTCCTTTAGGCCAGGGATGATGTCTCTAACTTCTCCTGTATCTTTTTCCATGCCAGGTTCGTTGCTGGATCAATAAATAAATACTTGGAGATCTGAACCAAATTACTATGAATCTAAAATAATTTCATTGGATGCAGGGCTTGAGAATGGCGGGCCTTAACATGGAGGAAGGAATCTTTACGTACCCTACAGAACCTAGCAAAGTGCCTTATATATAACAGGGAACCGATGAGTTAATTACAGTATTTATATATTCTAGCCCCTTCACTCTACAGAGAAGAAACAGAAGCCCAGGAAACCTAAGTTAAATTATTTGCCTAACACCACACTAATTTGTGACATAGTTGAACCCAGAACCCAAGACTTCCGATTTATAGTTGCCCTGAATTTTTCTCATTTCTGCCTTATCTTCCTTTATTTTGCCAGCCTCCAATTCTTGCTCTCTAGGGACAGAATTAGAGCCCTCCAACTTGATCCCTTTCCTTTCTGGAGCAGAAAGGGGGAGAGTCAAAGAGTCAGAATAATGAGATACCATTTATTGCATGTTTATGTATCCTGCTATCTACATAAGCCCACAGCATGTCTTATCTTAGGTAATCCTTACAGCTACCCCCCCCAAAAATTGACATGATCATTCTCCCCCATTTATAGATAAAAAAATATTGCCCAGAGAGGTTAAATAACTTGTCCAAGGTTGATCATTGAACTAAGATGTGAACCCAAGCCTGTCTGACTCCAGAGCTATGTGCTTCAATCACTGTAGTATACTATACTATCATCCTCTCTGTATTAGAGAAACCATTTGGAGGCCCTTCCCTCTGTTCCAGGGGCTTTCACCTTGGCAGATCACTCACACTGAAGCAGGCCAGCAGCTCCATCTTGTCTATAACAGAGCTGGGGCTGGCGGTGGGTTCAAAGCCCAGCGAGGTTGGCCGTTCCTCCTGTCCCAGGTACTCTCCGACTGTCCGCAGCACACTGCGCCGGCCCTCTGGGTGGAAGGCATCCCAGAAGGAGCAGTTGTCTGGGAGACTGGAGAGCATCAGGGCCTGTCCCAGCATTCCCTGGGCCTCAGTCCCCCCGGCCCCTGGACCCAGGAGAAAGGTCAGCAGGCGCAGGAGATAATGTAGGCGTGTGGAGTGGGCAAGGGCTGGTACAGAGGACTGACAGCGTGGCAACTGGGAGAGCATGCCAAGCAGGAAGGGAGCTGGGGCCAGGCACAGTGGGGATGGTCCCAGTGGCGGCAGAGAAGGCAGAAGAGGGCCCAGGAGCCCCTCTAGGAAGCAAGTGTCATTGCCCCCACGACTTATCCTGCACTGGCCAGCAAGCCAAGGCCAGAAGGGCACCAGGGCTTCATACATGGTGTCATTGGCACAGACCATCATCAGGAAGCTGCCCCCATCTGGGCAGCGTTCCCCACAAGGTCCAACGTGGCAGGGAGGGAAGGCAGTGACATCTGGGGTGGGGCCCCGGCACACATGCTGAACCCAAGCCTGATTGCTGGGGGGCACAGCCTGCAGACCCGCCTCTCCACACAGCCGCTCAGCCCACAGAGTCTCATTCTCCAAGAAGCAGCCCCAGAAGTTCTCTGGGGTGAGGGGAACAGGGGGCAGACCTTCAGGACAGCTGGTAGGTGGTGGGAGCAGGTCAGCACAGAGCTGCTTTACCAGGCGGCGGTTGGGGCCAGACAGGGCTGAAAAGGAGAGGTTGCTACATATTGCCTCCAGGAACTGATCAGGAAACTGGTCGTGGCAAGCCTGTAGCCAGCCTTGGGCACCTGGTGCCCATGAGACTGCATACCACACAGCTGTCTGGCAGATGGCAGCGGTGCTGGGAGGGGGCCGCGGGGTGGTGGGCTTGGCGTGCTGGCAGAGCAGGTGGATGGAGAAGTTGGAAATGCTGTAGGGTGGTGCTGGGCCTGAGTGGTTCTCGCAGAGGGCCTCCACAGAGATGGCTCGCCGTTGGCGAGGGCTGATGTGGGCCAAGGGCTGGGAAGCCCTGGGCAGAGGTACACCTGTGCTCAGGCAGTGGAGAAGGGCAGGGGGTGGGGGTGGCGATCCAGACAGAAAGCCCAGTGCCTGGACATCCCAGGAAAGGTTGTGCCGGATGCCCCTGGGTGTAGAAGGAGGAGCAGACGGCATCTGGTCAGTTCACATTTCCTCCAGTCGAACATTCTGACCCTGGCCCAGAGCCCAGCATGGGGGGTGGCAAGCATAGGCTTTTCCAAAAGGTCCCTGGGAGAATAGGTTTTACTGGTTTAAATACTGGAATGTTGGAAATGGGAGAGAGGTCTGTCCTGCCAAGTCACAGAATCACTCCAGCCCAGTTGGAGTCCCTTCTGTCCACCTGGCTCCCTTCTTTCTCTTTTCTTCATATGCTTTTAGGTAGCTTAAATCCACCCCTTGGTTGACCTCATATCAGGAAATCTGCCGAGCAAGTGAGTAAGTCTGACTGTGCTCTGGCATTGTTGTACCGAAATAGTAAGGGATAGAGGAATCCAGTCTTGTCTTTTCTTTCCATACCCCATCTTTACTAGGTAGTATTTATTAAACACTATGTGCGAGGCACAGTTCTAAGTGGCTTACACATACAGTATCAACCCATTCAATCCCTTTCAACAACTCTATGGTGGCTAATATTATCTATATTTTATAAGTAGGGAAACTGAGGCATAGAATGAGAATGTAACCTCCCCAAGGTCACATGACTAGGTAAGGTAAAGCTGGGACACCAACCCAGACAGCCACGCTCCAAAACCCCTAAACCACACCCCTCCCATCAGTTTTCTCCTCCACTCTGGAGGCTGATGACTTCCCAGGTCCAATCAGAACTCCTCTCCTGGTAAGAGAGGTACTTACCATAAAAGCAGCTGCTGAAGGTTGCCTAGGAGGGAAACAGTAAGGAAGAGGACTCCCCCAATCTCACCCCTTCTTTGCCCTGCCACAGCCCAGCCCCAGACCTGGCAGCACTCACCTCCCTGGCACTGCCCATTGCCATCAGGCTCTGGTTGCCCCAGAATGGAAAAGACCTCATCCCGTAGGGAGTCGGTGACACGGAGCAGCCCCTCCTGGAAGGCAGCAGAGAGGGGGGCCCCCACTGTGCGCAGCAGGCCTCCCCAAAGAGCCTCCTCAGAGCCCAGCTCCCCTACTGGGGTGAGCAAACCCAACAGACCCTGCAGAAAGTGAGGGGTGGGCTCCATCCCATCGAGGCCTGTGGCATTGGCGGGGTCCACACTGGGCTGCACCTGTATCAGCGCCTGCCAGTGTGTGCCCTCTAACAGCAGCCGCAGAGAAGGCAACCAGTCAGCCACCAGGACGCAGTCAGAGGGCCCATCACGAGTACACGGGGGCCGGGTAGGGGCTGGAGGTCCCACGGGAAGCAAGGCTCCTAGCAGCACCTCTGCGAGTCCACCCAGCACACCTGCCTGGTGCCCCAGGAAGTCCCGGGGGGTCTGCTCCTGTCCCAGCAGTGCCAGCACATCCCCTAGCAGCCCTAGCATTGGCTCCCAGTCTGGGCTGCCTCTCAGGGTCACTAGGAAGTCGTGGAGCCGGAGGGCAGGGGGCTGAAGGGGTGGGGGCTCCCCCACAGGTCCCTCCCCCATTCTCCCAGGCTCAAAGGAAGAAGAAATGTTGGCCAGGAATGCAGAGAACCGTGAGTGGCTGAGGGACCCCTGGGGAGCCTGGTCCATGGTGGAGAGCAATGACTTCAGGAGGGAGAGACCAGGGTCCAGGGACTGAATCCCAGTAGGGACCAGAGTCACTGTGAAGAGAGAAACAGGAGCTCACTAAAGGGGAAGAGCCTAGAACCCAATTCAGCCTTGCCCTGGAGCCCAGCCCTAGCTTGGATCTAAGGAGGAGGCGAAGGGGATGGCGAGCCAAGTCCCTTTACTGAATCAGCCTACAGGAAGTCTTGACCTGCTTTCTTACCCCTCACTTTCTCCCTAGCCTTAGTCCCTGCCCATCTTCCTTTATCTTTTATAGAAACCAGTTAATCTCTGCATTCTTTTTTTTTCTTAATATTTTATTTATTTATTTGACAGAGAGAGACACAGCGAGAGAGGGAACACAAGCAGGGGGAGTGGGAGAGGGAGAAGCAGGCTTCCCGAGGAGCAGGGAGCCCGATGAAGGGCTCGATCCCAGGACCCCAGGATCCCAGGACCCCGGGATCATGACCTGAGCCGAAGGCAGACGCCTAACAACTGAGCCACCCAGGCACCCCTCTCTGCATTCTTAAGTCTCTTTTTAGCAACCATCCCCTTCATCCCCAGCCCTGCTCACCTGTGCAGGATAGTGGCAGCAGCAGAGGCCAGAAGCTCAGAGCCATGCTTCCAGGTGAGCACCGGGAAGAGGTGAGTTCTGGTTAATCTCACCTTGTGTGGGATAGCCAGGTGAGGGCAGGGCACTGTGAGGCAGCCCGAGTTGCCACTGACACTGTAGTGTGGTCTTTCAGGAAACAGTATCTGTAACCTGACAGGTTTGTCACCTGAGCTACTGAATACCTGATCATTGGGCTTTGGAAAAAGGTGTGCTTCTGTGAGAGGGACCAGTGATAGGGGATCCCAGGGGGCCCTTGGAGGAGCCTAAGGCTAACTTAGCCTCAGTTAAAAGCCAGGATGCAGATAGGAGTGGGCAGACATGGAGGTGGAGACCTGGAAACCAGGGGTGTAATCTGGTTGGGGTAGGGGTGGGGGCTGCAGAAAAATATAAGAAAACAAAGAGGGTCCAAAGGAGTTAAAAAGCAAGTAGGATTTGAAGAATCAAGGCAGAAAGGGGGCCCAGAAAAAGGAGCGGGGCAGCCAGGTATAAACAGAGAAGAGGAATAAAGGCCAAAGTCTGGTGCAAAGACATAGCATTCAGGAAGAGGAGAGCTCCTTTCAATTCAGTACCAAGAACCACAAAATGCTAAGAATGGGGCAGGACTTCAGAGGTTCCACACACCAAACCTCTCATTTTATGGATGTGCGACTTGCTCATTGGGCCTTTCAAATGTTTGGGTTTGCCCTCTGGCTCTCTTCCTGTGGCCTAGGTGAAAGCCCTGTAGAAAATTCTGAGCTGAGAAAAGAGATAAACCAGATTAAATCACTGTGCAAGGGGGCTACTTCCCACACTCACACATACACGCATGCACACACGCACACATGCTCACACACACACACACCACAGAGTACTTCTCATAGATCAGAGAGATCCCATTCAGAATAACTAGGTCTGGTCAAGACGTGAAGTCTTTTCTGTCCTCCATTTATATATCCCCAAAGGCCTTTACTTGATACCAGCTCTAAAGAGTAATTCAACACTGAGGCTCCACTTAAACCATTATTCTGTCCCTCTTTCCTCAGAACCCTCCTCTATTCTATCCCCCAAGCCCACACATTCAAATCTATTATTAATGAGCTTCTGCCCTAAAAAGTTCACTTAGGATCGTAGAATTTTAGAACTGGAAGTGACCTGAGGGATCCTGTGGTAAAAACTTCTCATTTTATAAATGAGGAAATTGAGACCCCACCAAAATGGAATGATTTGGCCAGGCCTCCAAAGTTGAGGACGGTGCTAGTATTTTCCAAGGCAAATAAAAAGTCAGGATTAATGAAATGATCTATTGCACCCCTTTGCTAATATTTTCCCTTTGCCCATCAAAGTTACCACATCTAGTCTGGAAAGCAGAGAGGAGAATCAAAGAATATGGCCTGGATTCCCAATAGTTTTCTATCTCCTGGTTCCAGCCCATCATGCAATCCATTTGAATTTCTGCCCTTGGTTCTGTAACAACCCTCTTATGATAAATTCTCTTTTTTTGCTAATAGCATAGCAAAAAAAATGAGATGGCTTGGGTTCAAATCCTGGCTCCAATGTTTACTAGCTATATGTTGTGGGCAGTTTTTAAATCTCTCTGTGTCATAATGTTCTGTTCTATAAAAAGGAGAGATCCTAGCATGGACTTATTGAGAGGACTAAATTAGATAATGCACTTGAAGTACTTAGCACAGCATGTGGCATTCATCCAACAAAGAGTAAGCACCTATCGGGGCACCTGGGTGGCTCAGTCGGTTGGGCGTCTGCCTTCGGCTCAGGTCAGGATCCCAGGGTCCTGGGATCGGGCCCCGCATCGGGCTCCCTGCTCAGCTGGGGGCCTGCTTCTCCTTCTCCTCCCCTCTTGTGCTCTCTCTAGCTATCTCTGTCACTATCTCTCTCTCTCTCAAATAAATAAATAAAAAAATATATATAAAAAAAAAAAAGAGTAAGCACCTATCACGTGCCAGGCACTGGTACAAAATAAATATTCACTAAATGTTACTACTATTGTTATCAGACTAGCTCACTCTGAATTATTTTATTTGAAACTAAAGAGCCCTAATTAATGCAGAAATTCTTACCAGAAAGTAGTGTCTTGAGTAAAAGACCTTTAGAACAGGTATGAAACTAGTTGGCTCAAACGGAGAGAGTAACAATGAGTACTCCCTCAACCCAGGCTGGGAAATTCTTGGCAATCCACATGATGATGGAGCAAGTGGTTGGTTAAGCAATCCTATTGCCACCAAAGATTCAGACTACGTGCCAACTGAGGGTAAAGTATTTAGGGTTTATAGCTAATACAGCAAGCTATTCGATATAAGCAGGTTACTGCTTATACAGTTGGCCCTTGACAAGGCAGGTGATTAGGGGCACCCCCCAACCCACCACTGTGCAGTCAAAAATCTTAACTACCCAAAAACTTAACTACTAATAGCCTTCTGTTAACTGCAAGCCTTACCAACAACATAAACCATCGATTAATGCATATTTTATATATTATATGTATTATATACCATATTCTTCTAATAAACTAGAGCAAAGAAAATATTATTAACAAAATCATAAGGAAGAGACAATACATTTACAGTACTGTATTTATCTAAACAAACAAACAAACAAAACAACGGTGTATAGGTGGACCCACACCCATGTTGTTCAAGGGTCAACTGGGGTTTGGTAAAGTCCAACAAGAGTGAGAAGAGTACCAATCTATGAATGATCAAAGAGAAAGAGAGAAAAACAGAAACAACAAACTGAAATTACAGAAATCTAGAACAAGAAATTAATCATGTAGCTAGCTAAAGTGAAATGGATAAGATTGGTGGGGGTGACTGGAATGCTCTGTAATTAGCAATTGAAATGGAGATACCCAAGAGGAGCTGGAGAAGTTGAGAAATCTGAAACATCCTCACTGTCCCAAACCTGTCATAGGGTACTCTGTCTGACAAGAACACAATCTTCCCTTTGTAAATTACAATTATTTTTCTCCCTTTTTGATTTGCCTTTTGTAACTGAAATATATAGTGCTCATTAGCTATCCAAGCAGTCCCCACCCACATTTTCCAGATGTCTTTCTGTTGGGTGGGGGCAGGTGATTAGTTCTGGCCAGTGAATAGTAAATGACCAAAGACTTTAAGAGCTAGTGAATGATGCTCCTGTAATCTCTTGCCTGTTGAGGTAACCTAGAAACTGCAAGTTGAGATGGCAATGTCACAAGGCCAAGTAGCCTCAAGCTCCAAATTATACCAGAACATTTACAATCAATTCTCATTATTTATGAGTTCTGTATTTGTGAATTAGCCTACTCATTAAAATTTGTGAACCGAAATCAGTACTTGCAGTGTTTTCATAATCACTCACAGACTAATGCAGAGTGGTGAAAAATTTGAGTCGCCTGATGTGCACGTTCCCAGCTGAGATTAAATACGGCAATGCTCCACTGCCTTCTCATACTATAAGTCAGTGTCCTTTTCATGACCAATTTAGTGCCACAAGTTTAGCATTTTTGTCCTTTTTGTTGGTGATTTCACTGTTTAAAATGGCCCTTACGCTTAGTGCTAAAGTTCTTTCTAGTGTTCCTAAGCACAGGAAGGCTGTGATGTGCCTTACAGAGAAAATATGTGTTGGATGAACTTTATTTAGGCATGGGTTGTAGTGCTGTTGACATCAATCCAATTATGTTCATTCCCTTGTATTTTAAAGATTTATTTTATTTACTTCTTTGAGAGAGAGCGAGAGAGCATGCATGTGCTTGAGCAGGGGGAGGGGAAGAGGGTGACGGGAATCTCAGGCAGACTCTGCTCTGAGCACAGGGCCTGATGCGGGGCTTGATGGGGGGCTTGATCCCATAACCCTGACACCAGGACCCAAGCTGAAACCAAGAGCTGGACACCTAACCAACTGAGCCACCCAGACACTGCTATTCCCTTGCATTTTAAAGTGCCTATGATGTGCCCAGCACTGGTACAAATCCACTAAATGTTGCTACTACTATGATTAGACTAGCTCAAGATTAATTCTTTTTTTGCATCTAAGAATCTTAATACCAAAATTGGTACAAGAAGCAGTGGGGTTTTTTTAAGATTTTATTTATTTATTTGAGAGACACAGAGAGAGAGCACAAGTGGGGGAGAAGCAGAGGGAGAGGGAGAAGCAGGCTCCCTGCTGAGCAGGGAACGGGTCGCAGGGTTCGATCCCAGGACCATGGGATCGTGACCAGAGCTGAAGGCAGACGCCCAACCAACTGAGCCACCCAGGCACCCCAAGAAGCAGTGTTTTAAGTGAAAGATTTTCAGAAAAAATGTGGAACTAGTTGAGTAAAGTAGGGAGGGGGTCATTGAGGACCCCCCCCCCACCGAGGGAAATTGCTTTTCGGTCCTTATTGGGATTAGAAGAGGAAGAACAGTTTTGATGGAATGGTAATAATTCAATTTTGGACATATTAGAAATGAATTACCTAAGGATAGACAAATGAAATGCCTAAGGATAGACAAATGAATATTCTTCCTGGAGTTTCTAAGAGAGGTCTGGGTTGAAATGGAGTTAGAAATCATCAGCATACAAACAGTAGTTGAAACCATAAAAGTGGACAAAATTAGTTGGAATTTGTAGAGTATAAAGCAAAAATGGCTGAGGACCACACATTTAAAGCTTGGCAAGAAGATGGCTAACAGCAGAAGAGGAAGGGAAGGAATCCAAAGGAAAACCTGAAGAGAGTGGTGTCATGAAGCCAAAGGAGAAGAAAATTTCAATGAAGGTAAAATGGTCAAATGATCTATAGTGGTTTTGAACTTTGTTAATTTAGCTAAAATGGAATTGATTTCCCAGAATTCCTTTCCCTGTATGGCTCCCTGTGATGGTTGGCCAACAAGAGAGATTTGTGTGAGATTTGGAAGTTATACAGTGAAGACTTCTGGTTAGAAGTGTTGAGGGGTAGACAGGTTGAGGGGAGGAAGTCCAGTTCGTCCTCACTGAAGAGAAGTTTAAAAATAAGGACATCAGTCAGATAGATAAAGTATTATTTGGTCCTAC